TGTAGCCCAATGCTATCATATGTGTGTCTTCATCTCTCTCTGGTTCCCTGTCCCTGGTTTTTAATTCTTCCCTCTCTCTGTTGTGGCCCATTGTTATTTTTTTGTTTTCTGCCCTGGTCCCTGTCCCGAGTATTTAATTTCCTCCCTCTCTGCCCTGTAGCCTGTCGCAGGTTTTAATTTTTCCCATTCTCCATTGCTCTCTGTGTGGCTCCCTGTCCTTACTTTTTAATATTTTCCTCACTGCCCTTTGGCCCTGTTGCTCTCTTCCCTTTCTCAGTCTGTTTCTGTACAGTTCCTGGTCCCTTCTTTTTTTTAAATTCCTCCCTCTGTCTTGGAGACCATTGTGGTTTTTCCTTTCTGCGTGTCTGACTGGCTGGCTCCCACTCCCTGTTTTTCAGTTTCTTCCTTCTGGGCTCTTTAGCCTGTGGTGATTTTACTTCTTTCTCTGTCTCTCTGTCTCTGGATCCCAATTTTTAAATTCCTCCTTCTCTTCCCTGTAGCTTCTCTTTCTGTTTTTTTTCCCCTCTTTATCTATCTCCCTCCCCCTGTCTGGCTCCCTGTCCTTATGTTTTAATTCTTCCCTCTCTGCCTTCTAGCTGTGGCTATACTTTATGTGTTGCTGTGTGTCTGGTTCCTCATCCCTATCTTTTCATTCCTCCCTCCTCCCTGTAACCTGTTGTTATAAATGTCTTTTACTGTCTCTCTCTGTCCAGCTCTGGATCCCTGTTTCTTCCTTCCTCTCTAGCTCTGTCCTGTTCCCCCTGGCTATTTTTATTTTCTCCATCTCTCTGTGCCCAGCTCCGGATCCCTATTTTTTCATTCCTTCCTCTCTGTCCTGTAGCCTGGTGGTATTCTGTCTGTCTCCCTGTCCTGTTGTTCAGTTTCTTCCTTCTTGGCCCTGTAGCATGTTGTGATTCTGTTTGTCTCTGCCTCTCCTTTCCCAGCTCCCCATCCCTCACTTTTAATTTCTCCCTCTCTGTCCTGTTGCCCCTTGGGTCATGCCCCCCCCTTTCTCCATCTGACTCCTTCTTGCCTCCTGTCCCTGTTTTAAATTCTTCTCTCTGACGCGTAGCCTGTTGCTTTTTTCTCCATCTGTGTCCATCCCAGTGCCCCCATTCTTTATTTATTCCTCTCTGACTTGTACCCTGCTGCTATTTTTGCCTTTCTTTGTCCCTCACTGTCCAGCTCCCTGTCCCTATTTATTAATTCTTCCCTCTTATTGCACTCACTGCTATTCCCTGTGATCTCCATCCCTTTCTGTATGGCTCCCTGTCCCTAGTTTTTAATTCCTCTCTCTGCCCTCTGTAGTCTGTCTGGAATTTTTCTTTGGTGTCTCTCTCTGGCTAGTTCCCTCTCTCTGTGTTTTAATTCCACATTCTCTGTGCTACAGACACATGCCATTTGTCTGTATTTATCCCCCCCTCTCTGTCCGGATCCCTGCTGCTGTTTTTCATTTCCTCTCTGTCTTGTAGCCCATCGCTGTCTCTTTTTTTTCCTCTCTCTGTGTCTCTCTGTCTGACTCCCAGTCCCTGTTCTTGAATAGCTCCCTCTTCCCTGTAGCCTGCAGCTATTTTTTTTTTTCTGTTCTCCATCACGTCCTGTCTGTTTCCCTGTCCCTGTTCATGAATTCCACCCTCTGTTCTGTGGTCTGTCACTTTTCTCCATTCTATTTCCGCCTCTCTGTTTGGCTCCCTGTCCCTGTTTTTTAAATTCCTTCCCCTCTGCCCTCTGGCCCTTGCGATCCGTTGCCTTTCACTGTCTCTTTCTCTGACCAGCTGTCCGTCCCTATTCATTAATTCCTCTCCACCATGTAGCCTGTCGCTTTTGTCCTTTCTCTATCTCACTGTCTCTGGCTCCTCAACAACCCTATTTTAGAATTCCCCTGCTCTCCTTTGTGTACACATTGATATTCTTTCTTCTCTTCAGCTCTTTTTTTCCAGTTCCATGTCCCCATTTCTTAATTCTTCCCTCTCTGCCCTGTAGCTTTTAGTTATGTGGTTTGCTTTGTATGGTTCCTTCTCCTTGCCCCTTCCCTCCATTGTTTGTTGTCCCGGCTCCCTGTTCCAATTGCTTTTTTCCTCCCTGCCCTGTTCCTTGTCGCTTTTTTGTCTTTCCCCATCTCTCTTGGTCCGGCTCCCTGTCCCTGTTCTTTTTTTTGTCCTTCTCTGTCATGCTGCCCATCCCGGGTTTTTTCTGCATCTCCATCCTGCTCCCTGTCCTTTATTGGTCTGTCCTGCTCCTTCACCCTCTTTCTGCTGCCTCTCTTCCTGCTGCTTCATTCTCCATATCCATGTAGGGCTACTTGTTCCCTGCCTCGTGCTTTCTCACTACACCCGTGCCGTCGCGCCGGCTGCCACTTGTCTCCTTTTTTCTAGGGTCCCGGACCCTGCTCCTCCTTTTGGTCAGTCTCCACCTCTGCCCAGCAGCCCATTGCTCCGGGAGCTGACCGACGGTTCCTGGCCGGAGCGCTGAGCACAGCTGCGGGAACAACTGCTGCGGCGTCCCAGGGGCAGGGGGAGCGTCAGGGAGTGTGGGACCCGGAGCAGCCTCACTGCTGGGACTTGTTATGTGTGTAACTGAATAAACGCTTGCCGCCTCCCGGCTGCGTTTTGTCCTTCCTTTGCAGCGGGCAAGGGGCTGTGAGCGAACCCCGGGGGGGGCAGGAGGTGATGCGCTGTGGGGGTCGGGCACTGGCCCCCTGTTCCTGCAGAGCTCCAGCTGCGGGCCAGGGCTTGGAGAAGCCCCGGTGCGGGAAGGGAGGCGGGTGGCAGCAGCCTCTCGGTAAAGGGGTGGAGGCGGTGGGGCTGCTGTGGAGGGCGCGGGTGGCCAAGGAGGGGCACGTGTGAGCCAAGGCGGGCGGGGAGCGGAGCGGCAGATGCGCGTTCCGGAGCTGCGGCTACTGCAGGGGCGAAGGTGGGCGGGAGCGCGCGGTCGACTGGAGCGGAGCGGCGGCTCCCGGGAAAAGCCCCGAGGAGGGCGGCGGGGCGGGGCGGGGCGGGGGAGCGCCGCTCTGGGTCGCAGCCGGGGACGCCGCGGGGCGGGCTGGCCGGAGCCGCGCTGTGGAGGGCGGGGGCGGTGGGAGGGGTCAGAGCGCAGGGCGAGCTGCCTCCCGCGGCATGCCGGGAGCTGTAGTCCTGACGCGCGGGGCTCGCCGCCGGCCCCCGGGTCGGTTCCCCGGGGCATGCCGGGAGCTGTAGTGTTCCGGTACTCGGCGGCGGGCGGCCATTCCGTGCTTGCCCCAGAGCATGCCGGGAGTTGTAGGTTTTTTTTTTTTGCGGACCGGCTGCCGGACAGCTGCGTTGCTCTCTGTGGTGCGCGGCCCGGCGCAGTCCTCTCTACCGCCGCAGCCGCCGCAGCGCGGCACGAGGTGTAGTTTTGGTGCCGGTTTTGTGTGTTTTCCTGCGGGCTCCCGGCTGCTCCCCGAAAAGCGGTGCGGCCGTGCCTCCCGGTAGCCTCAGTGCCGTCGCGCCGCTCGGCCGTTGCGCCGCCTGGCGGACGCAGCGCGGTATTGCAGGAGGGCGCCGCTGTGCTCCGCCCTGCTGCGCGGCCGTAAAGGCAACGCGATGCGGCGGTACCTGAAGTTGCTGCCGCCGCGCCCGTCGCTGCCTCCCGGTGAGGAACCGCCGCCCCCCCGCGCGCGCTGTCGCGCCGAGCGCGGGACTGCAGCGCCAGTGCCGCCCCCGGGCACGCGCCGCCCGCCGGGCGCTCCCCCCTGCTGCCGCCGCTGCCGCCACCCGGTGGGCGAAGCGCGGTACTGCAGCACCGGCACCGCACAGGCGCGCAGCAGCGGCACCGCCGGCTTCGCTGCTGCCGGTGCGCGGCGGCTCGCTGGGCGTGATTCCTGGCGGTGGGTGCGGGCCAGCACCGCTAGTGAGGCGAGCGAGCCCCTTGGGCAGGTGTGGGGGTGTCTCTCGCTCGCCGACCGCCCGGGGGTGTCGGGACAGGAAGCTTCGAACCGCCTGCTGTGACAGGCTCCTGACGCACTGGAAGCGAGCGGCGTCGGGGCAGCCCCAGGGACTTACCGGAGAGCTGGCAGAAGGGAAGAGGTGAAGGAGGCGGGCATCCTCCCAGAAGCAACTCACCTGAGCTCCCCCTGAGCCTCCCCTGGCCCCGCTGTCCCTGCGCAGCTGCTCCTAGCTCCAGCACCACCCCTGAAGCCTGTCCCGTAGCCCCAGTTGAGCTCCAAGCCCTGTGGTTACAGCAGAAAGCTGGCCCTTGATGCATCTCAAGAAGCCCCTGTGGAAGGAGGGGCACCAGCCAGGAGAAATCTACTGTAATAATGGTCATTGCTTCTTTCTCTCTTTCAGAGGCTGCAGTGAGAACACACTTGTCCGTTCCTCCATTGGGGATGCCATTGACTGCAGCTGATACCTGTGAAGTAAGGTTATTAGAAAATAGATATTTGAGGAATAGAATTCTTAGGATTAAATTAAGCTGTTTTAGCCATTTAACCATTGTGCTGTAGAACAAACACTAATCTTTTGAGGAATAGTTGGAATAACTGTAGGATAAGGAACTCATAAATAATCTTACTGGAGACTGTTTGGCCTTGTGGTGGCAGGTGCAAAGAAACATAAAGAAGCTGCAAATTAGCAACAAACCATACCAGGCCAGCCTTGAAGGACAAGATGTACGTGACTATAGGACTGAGTTTGCGCAGAAGTAAGGGTCAACTGGCGAACACGGTGAAGAAGACTACAAGCCTTCATCTGAAGACCCCTGAGAACCACCCAAAGACTCCAACTGACACGCGCAAGAGACATTAACATATGCTAAATGAGTTCCCAGAAGTTATGAATATGGTAAAAAATGCAGTGAATATGTACGATTAAGGTAGTATAAACGCTTGTTGATTTCATTCTCACACACGCACATTAGGAGGAGCTATCCCTTGTGTGTCTGGTGCTGTAATAAAGAATGCCTGCTTTCTAAAACTCCAAAACTGAGTTTTAGAGAGTGAATTAATTATCACTTTCTGGTTACACAGATGCCTTAGCCTTGTGTGGGTTGTCTCTGTTTGGCCTTGCATTTCTCACAGCATGGCGGTCAAAAGGAACAGGCGAAGCACTTACTGGCTGTGGACAGTGGACAGGAGCTGCCCTGGCTGAGGCTGGAGAGGCCAGAGGAAGGCAAAGAAGAAAAAATTGAAGTCTGGTTAGCAGCAGCCTCCTGTTTCAGGTAAAAGTGAGCTTGACTCTCTGGGGGAGGAAGGATCCCTCTTTGTAGTCCACAGCAGGCCTGACTGCCAGCGTGCACTGCGTAGTCTCTATGTGTCACCCAAAGCGTGGTATGGCCATGTACTGCATGAGCAACCGAGAGTATGAGTGTAGGAAGCCTTGTCTCTTAAGAGCTGTGAGACACCCACATATTATTTTAGGTGGAAGATAGCCAAGCAACTGGGTTTTCAGAAGGGAAGGACTGAGGGAGAAGAAAGAAACCTCTGATCTGTCAAATTCTACTGACAGTGCGGAGTGTGAGAGCTGCAGTGAGCCCTGGGCACCCCGTCATCCCTCTTGTGCATCCCAGTCCCTTCCTACCTCTCTTCTGGCACCCTCTTTCCCATGCTGTGACTTTTTTTTTTTCCGCTTGCCTGTACTGTTCCTTTTTTCTCTATTTTCTCTCCTCCTCCCTCTTCTTCTCTCATGGTCATGTTGCTGATGCAATAGATGTAATAAAAGTGTAGGTATTGTTGTTTCTAGTAAGGGTCACTTTCTCTGTTCAGCACTTTACATGCTGTAAATTTAAGGCAGATAGGAGATCTCTGGGCACCTCTGGCTGACTTTCTCCCTCCTGGTGGTTGGCCCCGCCCCTTTCCCGGGGTGTTGTGGGAAGGGTAGTGGGCGGGGCCCAGGGTTAAATGAGCCTCAGCCTGTGCCCAGGGGACTGATTCTGCTCCTGGGTTTCTTTGGGCCTGGGGCTGTCATGTTCCTTCAGTCGATGGTGGTTTTTGAGCTGTCTAAACTTTTTAAGCAGCTATGTGTGAGGTAAGAGCTTCGGGAGCGGTCAAGGTTCAACAGCATACATAGTAGCAAGTATGTTTGTAGGTTTTTTTTTTTTGTTGTTGGTTTTTTTTTTGTTTTTTTTTTTTTTTTTCACACCAGTAATTTTGTGTTGAGTCTTTGGGGGCATGAGATGGTTTAATAGTATGCATTGTTTTTTTCTTTTAAGTTTAGGTGCATTGAGTTTTCCTGGATTTTCTGATTTCACTGAAGATGGAACCTTGTTGTTTTTCACTGTTTTTTCTGTATGCACTGTGTGAGTTGCTGATACTATCGGTCTTAATAGGACTGATGGTGAGATTACGCACAAAGAATTAATTAAGATGAGCATCTTGTAAGCCTCTGTATATAGAGTTTTAGTATTTCTCAAGAAAACAGCAAGGACGTGAGGCTTAGTGTCTTTCAGGGTTTGGGACAGCTCCTTGTGTTTTGTAATCACTCACAGAGTACCCTGGTGTCTTTAGAAACTTTGCAGCTTGTGGCAGCCCTCTTACAGGTTGTAAGTGTCCAGACTTCACTTATTTTGTGGCTCTGTAGTAGAGCCTGGAGTCTGGGGGAAGATAGAAGATAGGAGGTGCCTGCAGGATGCAGTGCAGGGCTTGGAAGAACATCTCACACAGAGTAGGTGATGCAGGGGGGTTCAAGGGTACAAACATGGGGCAGGAGCTGTCAGGAAGGAGTAGGGTTCCTTCCCTGACAATTCAGGAATAAAGAAGGAGTTTCTAAAGTTCTGAAGTTGGGTGAGTGGTTGTGAAAGAGAGGAGGGTTCATCAGCCTTTTTCTGGCCAGTTTTGCAGTTGAATTTGGATGTTGATGAGGTCTGTTCCATTTTAGTCTCTCGACAGCTGATGAGGGGGTATGACAAAGTCATGAGAGATACAGTATAAACCATCTGATCCTCTGCATTTCAATATACAGGACCGAACATCAGACGAGTCACATCTCAGAAAGCATCATGTGTATTTCAATATACCCTCCAGAACTGTGAGGCTTCTGCTTCTCTGGGTGTTTTACTTAATTCTTGGAGTTAATTTTTGAACCCATCCTTTCACCATCTAATCTGGATGTCACAGTAGTTGTTCCTTAGAGAAATTGACTGGGCACTTATTTCCAGCGCAGGTTTGGGTTGCTGTCTTCCCTGGAATTTTGTGGAGAAGAGGATGTGTATTATTTGTGCTCGTAACAATCTGCACCCAGGGGTCTTTCATTTATTGCAGTCCTGGGCACGTGAGCTTTTTCTATTACTCCAGTTTTGCCCCTCTCCTTAAGCGTCCAATGAGATTTGCTCTAGTATCATTCATGGCAGTTATGTTCTATTATTCTTGTTTATCTGTTGTTTTTAGCACCAGTTCCTGTAGTCATGAGGTATCCATTTTAGACCTTTGGGTCACCATGTCCTGCCATTGTGGTTTTTCTGTCGGTTGATCACTTCTGTAATTCCTTAAGGACTTTGTAGGTAAGGAGGTATTTTGTGTCACTTCTGTGTACTATACTATATGTATTTGGGTCTTGATGTTCCCATTGGGTTTTTTGTGCTAGCTGGGTAGCCATACCGAAGGTCTCGTGTGCCTTGGCTCATCAGTGTAGTGCTAACCTAGCGCTTCAGTTCTCGTATTAGAAGCTCAGCGCACAGATCTGTCTTGCCTGGGTCACGTCTGAGAAGTTCATGGATGGTCTTCTCTCATAGCAGTTATCCAGGATGTGTCAGCATATTTGCTGTCGAGTGGTCTGTTTTCATGGAGAACTTTTCCAGGATGACTTACTCTCTGCATCCTTTGGGTCTTAAGTGTTAGAGCCTGGCTTCTTGCTCATCCATTGTTGCAGTTGCAGCCATATCTTTTTGTCAGGGGCTGTGGCTTTTGACTTCTGGGACAGCCATAGCTTGTTCCTTGCTGTCCCTAGGTCTTCTCACCTAAAGGTATCTTCCCTCTGGGAGTAATTCTTCTTGTCCAGAGTCTTTTTTTATGTCTCTGGGTCAAGTCATTTGTCTTGTTTGTGTGCATTGTCAGTTTGCATATGTGCCTGGGTTGGAGCTGCTCCGCCCGGGACCATAGCAATGTCAGTGAGATGAAGAATAACAGTAAGAGTCTGTAGGTAATGTTGATATGCCTAGACAGTTTAGTGACACTGTACAGTCTAGCTCAGAGCAAGTAGCCCTCAGCAGCAGGCAAGGATGTTAAGGGGATGACCCGAACTATCCGAGAGACGCTGCTTGAGTAGTAGTTGAATATCTCTAATCTCAAAGCTGTTAAGGTTGTATGTGTAGGGCTTAATGTTGTGGGTTGTTTTTTTTGTTTGTTTTTTTAATGGCAGGCTGTACTTGAAATCTAGATGGTATTCTCAAATGGAATCGAGACCTCTAGAATTGTTAAGCTATTAATCAGCATCCGGGTGACTTGTTCAATACGGTGGTAGTTTTTGTTGAGGATGGGTTCAGATGCATGGCCCTCTCAAAGCTAAGTTGAAGGAGTGCTGTTTGGCAGAGGCCTATGGGGGACAGCCCAAGGTTGGGAATTGCAGGGTGGGGCTTTAAAGTTAGTGTAGGGGAGAGGGCTGTCCAGGAACAGTGCTCTTTGGGCAGGTCAAGGGAGCAGATTACTTTTCAGCACAACTCTAGCATGTGCCAGGCAGGGCAATTCCTGTGTCCGTTGTTGTGTAGTTTATGTGTCTTCTGTGTCTTAGACCTTCCTCGGGTCTCAACGTGCTCTTTGCACTAGAGGAGCACAGCACATGCCTCTGACACACTCCCTAGGGTCTGGAGTGCCCACCCTCATCAGCATAGTGTCAGTTGGATGCTTCTTTTCTCATGTTGTGAGCCTGAAGCGTGGCTAGGTCTCAGAAGTTTCTGGTCAGTCTGCTTTTGCAGCATTGTTCTGGGCTATGTTAGCATCTCTGATCTTGAGCAGTCCATTGTCACAAATGCCTTTTTGGGGAGTTCTTCCTTAGATCCCTACGTTCTTAGGTGTTTAAGCAAGGCTTCTTGCACATGCTTCATCCCAGTTGCACCCATATGTTTTTGTCACAGGCCACAGTGTTTAACTGTTTGGCCTGCCATAGATTCTTCCTCATGGCCCCATAGGTCTTATCTGCCAGTGTCTCTGGTCCTGGAGGCATACTTAGAGCTTTTTGTTTTGTTTGTGTGCAGCGTTGGTCTGTGCATGTTTGTGTCTGGGTTGGAACTGCTGCTCTGTGCAGCATAGCAGTGGTAGTCAGCAAGACAGTAACAATGAGAATGTAAGGCTACTGTGTTGATAAGCCTAGACTTTGTAGGCAAAGAGTGTACAGTCCATTTCAGAGTAGGTAGCCATATATGCAGCAAGTGAGGAGACTTACTTCCATAGCACTATGCAGAGACATGGGGAATGACCAGTTTTTTTATGACAGACTGTAGTGAGAATTGAGATGGTATACCTAAATGGAAACAAGACCTCTGGAATTGTTAAGCTGTCACTTGGCAATCAGGTAACTTGTTCAATATAGCTCTTGCAGGATGGCCTGTGTGCCAAAGGGCAGTGGAGGAGGTGAGTGGAGTGTTCCAGGAAGGTAGGGAAGATGCAACCGGTGGCTCTGACTACCTTATAGATGTGTCTTATTTTGAAGATGCAAAGCAGCGAGCAAAGCTAGATCCTGTGGTATCCAGCAGCAACTATTTGAAGCTTTTCTCTTTGGTTTTTGCAGGTGATGTCCAGGCAGCCTTTGGAATTGGATGAGCATTGGAGGTGAGCTGGGGTGGTAGCAAGGAGGAGCACAGGCCGGTGACTTTCCAGAAGTGCAACAATAATTTTGTATCTCTTGGTATCTTAGGTACCACAGGTGATGATGGCTGCAGCATCCGACTCTGAAATGAGCACATGAGCAATGCTTCTGAGGTGGGCATTGTGAAAGAGGTTGGCCTTGGCCAGTGTGAGGCTTCCCATCAGCAATGTTTATGGGTTTCTTGCAAATGATGAAGAGGAACGTGGTGACTCAGGAACATCCCAGTTAGCCGATGTAGATTTTGTGGAGGATGAAGTTGGAGCTAAGTTTGAATCCAAGTCCTGGCTCTCTGAAAGCTAATTTGAAGGACCAGATCTTGGAAGGGGCTTAGGAGGAAGGGACAGGGTTGGGAGTTGCAGGGAGGGGTATTAAAGTTAGTGTATGTGAGAGGGCTGTTCAGGAACAGTCCCCTTTGGGCTGGTAAAGAGAGTGGGTTCCTTTTCAGGACAAGACTGTGCTGAGGCAGGGCAGTTCCAGCCTGTGTCGCCATTGTGTAGTTTGTGTATTCTGTCTTCTGTGTCTTAGACCTTCCTCAGGTCTCAGTGTCCTCGTTGCTCTTTGCACTCGAGGAGCACGGTGCATGCCTTGGATACCATCTCTACAGTCTCGAATGCCAGTCCTTGTTGGCATAGCACCGATCGGGTGCTTCTTGTTCTTGTGTTACAAGCTGAAAGTGTGGCTAGGTCTTGGAAGTTTCTGGTTGGTTCTGTTTTGTGGCATCTTTCCAGGCTACAGCGGCTAAAGTAAAGCAGCAGGAGATGGCAATTGGTGTGGGCAGGTGGGAGCTTCAGGGAGTATCTCAGCATGTGTGCCTTGCTTTGGTTTTGGCAGGTGCCGCAGCTAGCCTCGGAGGGGCAAAGTTGCAGGCTGATAGGCAGTCCAAGAAGGTGAGGAGATTGTTGGCTGGGCTGGTGTCTAATAACAAAGTATTATATGGCAACTTGGTTAAGCATTTACCTCAATTTTGCAGGTGCTGTGGGAGCCACCTTTGGAATTGGATGAGCCTTTGAGGTTGGCTGTGGTAGTAGTGAGGAGGATCGTGGGCCTTACGATGTCTTACAAGTGCAATGGTAATTTAGTCCCTTGGGATCTGAGGTACCAAGAAGTGATGATGGCCACAGTGTCTGACTGTGAAATGAGTAGGTGAGTGGAGCTTCACGGTGCTTCTGAGGGAGGTGTTGTGGATGATGTAGGCATTAACTGGTGTGATGTTGACTGCAAGCTCTGTTTTGTCTTTTGCCTTTTTTTTTTTTTTTTTCTGCAGGTAAAGAAGAACCTGGCCACTGCAGGAATATCCCAGTTAGCTGATATGTTTCTTTTTGTCAAGGATGCATTCAGACCTCCAGCCCTCTGAAAGCTAAATTGAGGGACTGGTGCTGGGAGGAGGGGACAAGGTTGGGAATTGCAGGGAGGGGTTTGAAAGTTAGTGTAGGGGAGAGGGCTGTCCAGGAACAGTGCCCTTTGGGTAGGTAAAGGGAGCAGATTACTGTCTGTGTTTGTGTAGTTTGTCTTCTGTGTCTTAGATCTTCCTCAGTCCTCCACGTCCTTGTTGCTCTTTGCTCGACGAACACAACACGTGCCTTGGGCGTCCTCCCTAGGGTCTTGAATGCCTGTCGTCATTGACACAGTGCCAGTTGGCTGCTTCATGTTTTCAGGTTTCAAGTATAAAGCATGGATAGATCTTGGAAGTTTCCAGTCAGTTCCCTTTTGCAGCTTCATTCCAGGCTGTGGCATCAGCTCTGCTCTCTAGACATCCATATTCACGGCCTGGGAAGTCTTCTCTGCATCCTTATGTTCTTAGGTCTTGAAGCCAGTTGTTTTGTGCATTTGTCATGTCTGTTTTGACAGTAACTTCTTGTAACAGGCCATTGTGTTTGACTCTTTCTGGGGCTGCCATAGAGCCTCTTAGCCTCATGGCTGCGACCATCTAGGTCTTATTGCATGATAGCATCTCCCATCCAGGAGTCATTCTTCTTGCTTAGAGTTTTCTCTCATCTTTGAATCACACTGTTTGTAGTGTGTTTTGTGTAGTGTTGGTCTGGGCGTGTGTGTTTGGCTTGAAGCTGTTCTGCCTGGTTGATGTAGATTCAGTGGTAGGTGGAAGAGTGATAGAAGTGTGTGGATAATAGACTGATAAGGCTAGAATATTTATGCAACGTTTGTGCAGTCACCTTGGGTCAAGTAGCCATCAGCCAGCTGTGTGGACAGTCATTTCCATAGTGTTTTAAGGAGGTGAGTGGAGTTATATAGGAGGGGCTGTTCAGCAATAGTGAAGCAGATCGATTCTGAGGTATTAAGGCTTGTAATTGTGGGCCTTACAGTTTGGTATGTGGAGGATGGTTTGGTTTTGTTTTACCGCCAGACTGTAGTTGGACTCTAGATGGTATTCCTAACCGGAATCAAGACCTCGTTATTTCTTAAGTTATCACTCTGTATTTTTTTCAGGTGCAGAGGGATAAGATGCATACCAAAGTGATGGAGGAGGTAAGCAGAGTGCTGTGAGAAGGTGTGTCAGTGAGCTGTGTCGGAGGGAAGATGGGACCGGTGCTACATGCCTAGCTTACAGGTTTTGTTTTTGTAGTTTTCTTCTTTTTTTTTTTAAGGTGTGAAGTGGTGAGCAAAATGGGATATTGGCACCAGAGCTGGCTCAGGCAAGCTGCCTTTGGAATTGGATGAACACTTGAGTTGATCTGGGGTTGCAGTGAGGAAGATCACAGGGCTGGTGACTTCTCACAAGCGCAATGATAATTTTGTCTGTTTGGAATCTTAGGATCTATAAGCAACAACAACCATAGCGTCTGACTTTGGAATTGGTGCAGAGCAGGGTGAAGGGAAGTGACACAGTGCTTCTGAGGAGGGGCATGTTGTGGATGATGTAGGCATTGACTGGTGTGATACTGACTGTCAGCTCTGTTTTGTCTTTTGTTTTTTATTGCAGATGATGAAGAGGAAGCTGGCAACTAGAGGGACATCCCTGTTAGCTGATGTGGTTTTTCTGTTGAGGATGGATTCAGACCTCTGGGCCTTTGAAAACTATGATGAGGGGACCAGGGCTGGAGAGGGGCTAGGAGGAGTAGACAAGGTCGGGAACTGCAGGGAGGGCTATTAAAGTTAGTGTAGGGGAACGTGCTGTCCAGGAACAGTCTCCTTTGGGCAGGCAAGGGAGTGGGTTACTTGTCAGCATAACACTAGTTTGTGTTGGGCAGGGCAGGTTCCAGCCTGTGTCCATGCATGTAGCTCATGTAGTCTGTCTTGTCTTATACCACACTGTCCTCAGGTCTTGATGTCTCCATAGCTCTTTGTCATCAGCAGGCACCTCAGTAGTGCTCCTGAGAATCTTCAGTGCATTGCTTCACTGACATAGTGCCTGTCGAGCTCTTCTTGTCTAGCAATTGTTGCCTAAAGGATGGATTTGTCTAGTGTGTTTTGCGTCATAGGTGTTCTTGAGCGGTCACCTCTTGCGCTGCCAAGCTAGGCGACGCCTGCAACTCTTCTGTTGAGAGTTCTGTTTGCACACAGTAGTCTTCTGGGGTTTCATGCCCGTGTCCTTAATGATCTTAAGTCTCGAAGCCTAGCTTCTCAGGTATCCATCATTCCGGTTTTGACGGTAGCTTTCTCTCACGGGCCACAGTAGTTGCCTCATTCTGGGGCCGCTATAAAGCATCTGCATGGCACCGTAGAGCTCCTCTGCTGGTGGTATCTTCCCTAGGGTGGCAGTTCTCTCTCACGGTCTTCTCATGTCTCACAGTCATGTTGTTTGTGGTGTCTGTCTGTGTCGGGTTTGGAGCTGCCCTGCCCAGGGGTGTAGCAATACTAAAGACAATGGTAGCATAGCTTTATGGTTGCATAGTAATACGTTGATCTGCCCTGATCCTTTTGGCAAAGACTATACGGTTCATCTCCGGGCAAATAGCTGTAGAGAGCTGCCGGAGTTGTTTTCACTGTGTTTGGCAGGTGCCAGAGGTTGGACTCTGGCCTGCTGGGAGTGGTGGTCTGTGTGGTAGTTGAATGGGTTGAATCTTAAAGGAGCCTTAGCTTGTATGTGGGGTTCAACATGTGGGGTTTGGTTGTTTTAGCTGTAGTTAGAAGGCATATGCAAAAAGAGAGACCTTTGGTCTTGTAAAGCTATTGGTTAGTGTCTGGGTGACTACCTTCACGTGATTTGGGTTTCTCAGATGCAGAGTGATGAGGCATGTGCCGCAGGGTGACAGAAGAAGTAAGGCAAAGTCAGGCCGGTGTCTGATGTCAGAGGATATGTGTGACTGATGGCTCTGATGGGCTTATGCTGTTTTGGGTTTATTTGCTAGGTGTGAACAGATGGGTGAAGTGGGATATCTGTACCGGAGCAGACTTTAGAAAGGTAAGTGGTGACCAGCGTGCCAAAGTAGTAGTTTTTTTGAGGTGTCATACCCTCCCTATTGTGTACATATATATCCCTATCCTATAGGGATATATAGGGATGGGGTATGCAGACCGAAGAATCTGAGTCTGAGCAGCTGAGGTAAAACAGAAGAGGAGAAGCGCTGTGAGCAGGCTGAGGATTTGGGTGGCATCTTACCACGTGCTTTTTCCTCTGTTTTTTGGCAGATGCTGCATTCCTTTCCAGAGGGTTGAAGCTGCACAGCTATGAGCAGTTTGAGAAAAGGCAAGAGAGTTAAGTGGTCCGCTTGGGCTGAATTGCTGAGGGTCCATGCAACTGTGATGTATTACTTTGAAAGCTAGAGCAGAGCAGGTGAGTGCAGCTATTCAGGGCTGTGCTCTGACGGATGAAGTGTGTATTAAACAGCCTTGTTTTGTTTGTGCAGGTAACAGAGTGGCATGAAGTGATTAAAGGAACCTTGCATTTAGGTGACAAGGCCACTATTGAGGATGGCTACTGAGCATGGACCGTGACCTGTGGCACCAAGAAAGCTAAGAAGTGGGACAGATTTAGACAGACAGAGCTGCCTAAGCTTTTTGGACTGAGGTCTTTTGACCTTCAGAGGAGCATGCGTGTTTTGCGGTAAGAGCTTCAGGACCGGGCAAGGTTGGGCACCCTATGGAGTAGAAAGTAGACTCGTTTGTTGCTTTTTTGTTGTCTTTTTTTTTCAGGAGAATAATTTTTGCTTGAGTGTTCAGGGGTGGCAAGATGGTTTAATAGATTGCTCTTCCTTTTTAATTTAGGTGCTATTTTAATTTTTTTCCCTATTTTCTTAGTCCCCAGCGCTCTTAAAATTTTCCTCTTTTAAATGATTTTTCCTTGTTTTTCCTTTAGGAAAAAAAACAGGTAAGTTGCAGGGGGTCAGTTTGGGGTGCAGGGGATCTGGTTGGGATTCACGGGGCCCAGAGAGGTCACGTGGTGTCCAGTTAGGGTCGCAGAGGGTCTTGTTGAGGTTCAGGGGAGCCAGGTAAGGTCCAGGGGGGTGTGTTTGGGGTGCAGGGGGGCCCTACAGGGTACAGGGGTGCCAAGCAGGGTATGCCAGAGAGTTTGCAGGGGGGCTGTTTGAGGTGAAAGGGGGTCCAGACAAGGTGCAGAGGGTCTGGTTGGGGTGCAGGGTGGCCAGACAGCGTGCAGGGTGTATTGTTGGTGTGTAATTTGTATTGTAACTATAATTGCTGACTGATCAGTGTCTAATAGGAGTGTCTGGAAAAGCACCAACCTGTGATTCTAGTGTATAAAAGAAGCACATGCATCTGCCTTTAGGTGTGCTTGATTTGAGGAAAATCCCCCGAGCACCTAGGCCCGAATAAAAGACAGTATTACTCCTGAGCCTGTTCAGCTGGGCTTATTACACGCTGGGTACAGATGGCCCCCTGCTCCCCACGGGCTCCAGCTGTGGGCTGGGGCCGGGGCAGCCCAGGTGGGACCGATGAGGTGAGGATGGGACCGGGCCAAGGTTTTAAATAGGCTGCAGCTGGGGAGATGGGGATGGACTGGGGCAGCCCCAGGGGCAGCCGGTGAGGCTGAGGATGGGGCCGGCCCTGCCGTGCCAAGGGACTTTGGAGTCGAGGGTCGGGGGGGTGGGCTTCCTGCCCGCGGGAGCTGGCTGAGGAGCAAAAGAGAGAGTCTCAGACGTGGCAGCCTGCGGCCAGGAGCGGCCGGTCCGTGCGGCGAGGAAGGATTCCTCCCGGCCGGCCCCGACGGGGCACAGCACCGGCGCCGGGAGCTCGGCGCCCCGAGCCGCCGGGTGGCCGGGAAGCCTCGCGGGGGAGGCGCTCGGAGGCGCGTGCCGCCCGCCCCCTCGTGGGTGAGGGTCGGGCAGCCGGCGCTGCGGAGGTGGGAAGGGGCGGAGGCGGAGAGACGAGCCCCGGGGCTGCGAAAGCCTCGGGCCGGGGCCGGTACCGGGAGCTGCGGCGGGTCGCGCGTCCCCCCGGGCCGGTCCCGGCCGCGCTTCTCCAGCTGCCCGCCTGCTCCCGCCTCCGGCTGCCTTTCGGGCTGGCCGGGTCCCCGCAGCTTTTTGCTATTCTGCCGACACTGCCCCGTACCCTGTTGCCTTCTGCACGTCCTTTCCACGCCTCTCCCTTCCTTGCTCTCCAGCCGCCTGAAGTATTTCATTCCTTCCGCGCTGCCGCCTTCCCCGTCGATTGTGAAAATTGCATTGAAAGGTCTCCCTCTACCCAGTGACTTGTATCTATTCTCAGCGACTCCCTGTCTCTCTCTCTTTGTCACTGAAATTGGGTTTAGTGTTAATGAGCGGGCATTACTTTATTCAGCCAGGGACGCAAGGGAATCGTTTCACCTAACGCGCTTGCCGTATGTTATGATAGCCAAAGCTTGTATCTCCCTGTTACATGTATATTCGTCCAATTCCCAAAAACTCATTACTGTAGTTACGTAATTATTACATGTGCAATTTAGGTCTCTGAGGGACTTCTGCAGGGGTCGTCGGTGGTCTCTAGCCATCTTTGGTGGTCTTTGGAGAGCAGCCTTTCTTGAACTTTGTCTACACTTTGAAATTGGCCTTTCTTTGGTTTATGTTTGCGCTTTCTTATCACCCGCTTAGCTCCAGCTATTTTGTTCTTTTTCAGAGGGCCTTAATCTTCAAGGACAACGGCTCACAATTAGGAATCTCCCGATTTACTCACAGAGCCTCCTCACGTACGCGTTTCCCGGGAGGCGTTTATCATGCTCACCTAGCTCGAGGACCTCTGCATGATGGATGATGCGTTGCAGGCGTTTGACCGATCACTTAGGTTTTTCTGCTACACTAAACAATGTTTTTTCCTTCACCCGTTTTCCAACAGAGGGCCACTGGGAGGATGGGAGGATATGGGAGGACATTGGGAGGGCTGTGGGGATACTGAACATAATGGGAGACCCTGGACACAAACTGGGAGACACTGGATGTACTGCAGAGGGGCCTGGAGGACACTGGGGGCGCACTGGGAGACAGAGTGAGGACTGGAGGGGACTGGAGCGATACTAGGGGGTCTGTGGCAGGACAGGGAGGACCCTGGATGGACTGGGACACACTGGAAGACACGGGGGGGGCACTGGAGGACACTGGGAGTTACCAGGTAGTCTGTGGCAGGACTGGGAGACACTGAAGGACTCTGGGGGTGCACTGGAGGGACACTGAGAGGGACTGGAGGGTACTGGGGGACTCTGAAAAGAGTGGGAGACCCCGGGGGTGCACTAGGAGACACCAGACGCACTGCAGAGGGGCCTGGGGCACACTGGCAGCACAGTGGCGGACACAGTGAGGACTGGAGCGATACTAGGGGGTCTGTGGCATGACTGGGAGGACACTGGGTGGACTGGGAGACACGAGGAGGGAGTGGAGGGCACAGGGCGTTACTAAAGAGTTTGTGGCAGGTCTGGGAGGCCCCGGGATGGACGGGGAGATACTGGGGGGCTCTGAGGGTGCGCTGGAGGGACACTGGGAGGGAGTGGAGGGTACTGGGAAGTTTGGGGGGGGACACACACTGAACAGAGTAGGAGACGCACTGCAGAGGACCGTGGTGGGAATGCTGGGAGGACTGGAGGGAACTGTAAGGATACTAGGGGGTCTGAGGAGGACTGGGAGGGCACCAGGTGGGCTAGGACACAGTTGGGGGGGGCACTGGGGGAATACTAGGAGGTCTGTGACAGGACTGGGAGGACCCCGGATGGACTGGGAGATGCTGGCAGGCACTGGGGGACCCTGGGAGAGACTGGAGCTCCCCGGAAAGGGACCGGAGGGTACGGGAAGACGCTGAACAGATTGGGAGGCACTGTGGGTACCCTGGGAGGGAGTGGAGGATACTACGGGTTGAAGGTGCAGGGAGTCTAGTTGGTGTGCAGGGGGACCACACAGTGCGAAGTAAGTCTTGTTGGGGTGCACAGCACTCAAACAGGGTGGAGGGGGACTAAGCAACGTGTAGCAGGGTTGGTTGGGACATGGGGGTTCTTGCTGGGGTGTGGGGGGTCTGTTTGGGGTTCAGGGGGCCAAGACAGGGTGCAAGGGAGCCAGAGAGGTTGCAGGGGGTCTGGTTGGGGAACAGGGAGGCCAGACAGGGTGCAGGGGTTCTTCTTGGGGGGCAGAGGGTTCAGACAGGGTGCAGGCAGGTTGCAAGGCATCTGGTTGGGGTGCAGGGGATCTTGTTGCGGTGCAGAGGTTGTGTTTGGTGTGCAAGGGGTCCAGACAGGATGCTGGGTGTCTGGTTGGGGTTCAGGGGGGCCAGGCAGGTTGCAGGTGATCTGGTTAAGGTGCAGGGGGGCCGATTGGGGTGTGGGGGGCCCAGGCGGGGTGCAGTAGGGTCAGGCAGGTTACAGAGGGCCCAGAGAGGGTGCAGGGGGTCTGCTTGGAGTGCAGGGGCGGAAAGCAGGGTGCATATGGCGGGGCTAGTCAAGTGCAGGGGAGTCTCTTTGGGGTGCAGGGGGTCTACGTGGGGTTTGGGGAGCCCTTACAGTATGCACAGCTGCCAATCAGGGTGCAGGGTGGCCAGAGACGTTCCATGGGGGCTAGTCAAGGTACAGAGGGCCTGTTAGGGGTGCAGGGGGTCTTGCTGGGGTGCAGGAGACCCAAACAGGTGCAGGGGGACAAGGCAGGTTGCAGGGATGTGTTTGGGGTGCAGGGGGTCTGCTTGGTGTGCAGGGGGCACAGGGTGAAGAGAGGGGAAGCAGGGCATGTGGGGACTAATCAAGTTCAGGGGGTCTGATTGGGGTGTGGGGAGGCCAGGCAAAGTGCAGGGAGACCAGCCAAGGTGTAGCAGGGCTGCTTGGGGTTCAGGGGGCCTAGAGAGTGTGAAGGGGTACGTGACAGGCTGTAGGGATGCCAGAGAGGTTGCAGGGTGTCTTCTTGGGGTGCAGGGGGCCCAGACAGGGTGCAAGGGGGCCAGAGAGTTTGCAAGGTGTCCGGTTGGTGTTCAGGCGGCCCAGACAGTTTACAGGGGGACCAAAGAGGTTGCAGGGGGTTTTCTTGGGGTTTAGGGCACCCAGACAGAGCTCAGGGTGGCCAGACAGGTTGCAAGGGTCTTCTTGGGGTGCAGGGGGCCCAGACAGGGTGCAGGGCATCTCGATGGTGTTTTGGGGATTCAGACAGTGTTCAGAGGGTCCAGGTGAGGTGCAGGTGGCCCAGACAGCGTGCAGGGGTTGGGTCTGTTTGGCATGCAAGGTGTCCAGGCAAGGTGCAGAGGGTCTGATTGGGGTTCAGGGCACCGAGACAGAGTTCAAGGGGTGCAGTCAAGGTGCAGGGCGTTCCGGTTGGTCTGCAGGGATTGTAGACAGGGTGCAGGGGGTATTGGGGGGTGGAGGGGGTTCAGACTCGTTTCAGGGAGTTCTGCTTGTGGTGCAGGGGGTCTGTTTGGGAATCGGGGGACACAGACACGTTGCAGGGGGTTCTGGTTGCAGTGCAGGGGGTCTGGTTGGGGTGCAGGCATGCCAGACAGGGTGCAAGGGGTCTTGTTGGGGTTCACGTGGTTCAGACAGGGTTCAGGGGTTCTGGTTGGGACGCAGGGGTCTCAGGCAGGGTTCAGAGGGCCTTGTTGGGGTGCTGAGGGCTCAGAGACGTTTCAGGGGTTTCTGGTTGGGCTGCAGGAGGTCTGTTTGGGACACACAGGACCCAGACAAGTCGCAGGGCATCTGTTTGCGGTGCATGGATTTCAGCAGTCTTCATGGGGTTCGGGCAAGTTGCAGGGGGTTCTGGTTGGGGTGCAGAGAGTCTGTTTGGGCTGCAATTCCTCCAGACAATGTGCAGAGGGTCTGATTGGTGTTCAGGGGGTTCAGACAGAGTTCAGAGCGCTCTGATTGAGGGTGATCTGGTTGGGGTGCAAGGCATCCGGGCAAACTGCAGGGGGTGTGATTGGGGTTCAGGGGGTCTAGGCAAGATGCAGGGATTTCTGTTCAGGGTGCAGGGGATCTGGATGGGATGCAGGGTGCCCAGACCGGGTGCAAGGGGTCTTGTTGGGTTGCAGGGAGTTCAGACAGTGTTCAGGGGTTCTTGGGAAGTTGGAGGAAGTTCTGTTTGGGGTGAAGGGGTGCTGTTTGTGATGCAGGAGGCCCAGACAGGGTGTCAGGGAGTCTTGTTGGGGTGCAGGGGGTTCAGACAGTTTTCTGGGGGTCCATGCAATTTTCAGGGGGTTCTGGTTGGGCTGCAGGGGGTCTGGTTTGGATACAGGGAGCCTAGTCAGAGCGCAGAGGGTTCAGACAGGCTTCAGGGTGTCCAGGCAAGTATCAGTGGGATCTGGTTGGGATGCAAGGAGCACAGACAGGGTGCAGGGGGTCTTTTTTGTGTGCACAGTGTTTAGACATGGTTCAGGGGGTTCTGGTTGCGATGCAGGGGGTCTTGTTGGGGTGCAGGGAGTTCAGATAGGTTTCAGGTGGTTCTGTTTATGTTGCATGGGGTCTGCTTGGGATGCAGGTGACCTAGACAAGGCACAGGGGTTCTTGTTGGGGTGTAGGTGGTTCAGACAGGGTTCAGGGTGTCTTGTTGGGGTGCTGCATGTTCAGACAGGGTTCAGGGGGTCTAGGCAAGATGTAGCCAGTTCTGGTTGGGGTGCATGGTTCTGGTTGGGATGCAGGGAGCCTAGACACGGTGCAGGTGGTTCAGACAGGGTTCATGGGGTCCAGGGAAGTTTCAGGGGGTTCTGCTTGGTGTGCAGGGGGCCCAGACAGAGTACAGCTGGTCTCGTTGGGGTTTAGGTGGTTCAGGAGGTTCTGGTTGGGATGCAGGGGTTCTGGTTGGGAAGCAGGGTAACCAGACACGTTGCAGGTGTTCTTTTCTGGTTCAAGGGGGTTCAGCGAAGGTGCAGGTGGCTCTGGCTGGGATGCATGGGGTGTGTTTGGGGTGCAGGGGATTCAAACAGTTGTTCAGGAGGTGCAGGCAAGATGCAGGGTGTTCTGTTTGCAGTGTAGGGGTTCTGTTTGGGGTGCAGGGGTTTCATACAGGGTTCAGGGAGTCCGGGAGAGATTCTGGGGCTGCTGTTTGAGGTGCATGGCCTCCAGGCAAGCTGCAGAGGGGTTCTGGTTGGGGTGCTGGGTGTTCAGACAGGGTTAAGGCATTTCTGTTTGTGGTGTGGGGGTTCTGGTTGGGGTGCAGGGCATCCTGACAAGTTGCAGTGGTTCTGGTTGGCGATCAGGGTGCCCACACAGGGTTCACAGGGTCCAGGCAATGTGCAGGGGTTTCTGGTTGGGGTGCAGGGTGTCTTGTTGGCATGCTGGGTGTTCAGACACTCTTCAGGGTGCAGAACTTGTGTTTGGGATGGAGGGCCTCTAGGGAATGTGCAGGGTTTCTGGTTAGGATGCAGAGAGCGCAGCCAGGGCACAGGGGTGCTTGTTGTGGTGCAGGGGTTTCAGAGCGTTCAAGGGGTCAAGGCAAGGTTCGGGGGTTCTGTTTGGGATGCAGGGGGCCCAGACTGTGTGCAGGGGGTCTTCTTGGCGTGCAGGGGGTTCAGACATGGTTCAGGGTGTTCTGGTTGGGGTTCAGCGTGTCTGGTTGGGATGCAGAGAATCCAGACAGGGTGCAGGGGGTGTTGTTGGGGTGCGGAAGTCACAGACAGGATGCAGGGAGTTCAGACAAATTTAGGGTAGTTCTGGTTATGTTGCGTGGGGTCTGGTTGCGATGTGGGTGACCTAGACGCGGTGCAGGGATTGTTGTTGCGGTGTAGGGAGCACAGACAGGTTTCAGGGGTCTCGTTGGGGTGCTGCATGTTCAGACAGGGTTCAGGGGGTCTAGGCAAGATGCAGCCATTTCTGGTTGGGGTGAATGGTTCTGGTTGGGATGCGGGGAGCCTAGACACCGTGCAGGTGGTTCAGATGGGGCTCATGGGGTCCAGGGAAGTTTCGGGAGGTTCTGGTTGGGGTGCAGGAGGTCTGTTTGGTTTGCAGGGCCTCCAGGCAAGGTGCAGGGATTCTGATTGTGGCTCAGGGGGTCCAGGCAAGGTGCAGGGGGTTCTGTTTGGCGTGCAGGGAAGCAGGTGACCTAGGCACATTGCAAGGGTTCTGCTTGGGGTGTAGGGGGTTCAGACAGGGTTCAGGGGGTCCAGGCAACCTGCAGGGGTTTCTCATTGGGGTGCACGGGGCTCAGAGAGGGTTCAAGGGCTCCAGGCAATGTGCAGGGTGTCTGATTGGAGTTCTGGGGGCCCAGGAAAGGTGTACAGGGTTCTGTGTGGTTGCAGGGGTTCTTGTTATTTTGCAAGGGGTTCAGACAGGGTTCAGGGTGTTCTGGGTGGTGTGCAGGTATGGGGGTCGACAGTGGGGCGGGGGACCCTGAAGGGGACTTGAGCGTGGATCCTGACTGGGTTCTCGCCCTTGAACAGATAAAAATGTATCCTTA